CAATACGGTGGTTTTGGAGGCGTTTCAGGTAGGATAACTACTAGCATTCTAACGAAAAGGAAAACATAAACCTTCCCAGATTCCTCGAAACCTTCTAAGGTATATGCAAACATTGAACGACATTCTTACTGAATATAAAGCATTGTTTGCTCTTGAGCTAACCATTACTCTAGTGATTTTATTACTGGAAACATGACGACCTTTGTTACTAATTTGGACATCTTCGTCTTCATGCGAGCTAGTGGCGATATGAAAAACAGTGATTGTTTGTACCAAGCTCTACTAAGCCATATACCAAGTGTGGCTGCAGTGACATCTGAAGAACTCGGTATAATCCAAAAATTTTGCCGTAACTATACCGCGCACTTGTACAGAAGATGGGAACATTCAAGCAGTACAGTAATCAAACAAGGCTAGAAGCCAATATTTCATGGCCAATAAGTGAAACTTTGGACTTTGCTACAATATTAATTCCGGAAATAATGGACGTTGAAGAACAACAACTAAGCTCGCTTACTCAAGAAGCTGGATCATCTACATCAGATATGAGTACTAATACCCGACGAACAAGGAAAACCTTTACAGATTTGGGCAATAAACAAAAGAAAATACGAACTGTCCCCTTATTAGAACATGACGAAGAAGAGTTGCTGTAGGCGTTCGTCGGAAAGCTGAAGGGAAACAACAAAATCGATTTCGCTAAGATCATAGAATACTTATCCAGAGCCTCCAGAAAAGTAAAATATGTCAACGATTTTTATTCACATCCTTAAATAAAAAAAAGTGTTCCTTAGGATGACACCATGACATGAGCCAGAGCTCTTGTGACGCCGTTAAACTTATCGAAATGGCAGTATTTGGCATTAAGGACCTTTTAAGCGACAAGGATATTTATTGGATTTTCCTTCTTATCAAAAGTTAATTGTGAAGAAGAAGGAATGCTATCCGCCACCAGGAGATATAACTATCACTGAATCCAGAGCACAGATAAAACTACAAGCAATTTTGGATTTAACAGCTGAAAAAATCATAAGAGTGGCAAATATAAATAACGACGGTGAAATTATGAAACTTCTTGGCAAATACGGGATGGATGGTGCATCATCACAGAGCTGTTATAAACAAAAGCCGGTCACAAGTGACATTACAAATGAGTCTTCTGCTTTTATGGGCAGTTATGTGCCACTGCGTCTTGTGCGTGGCGATGCTATCGTATGAAAAAATCCACGTCCTTCTTCAACAAACCTATGCAGACCCGTTATGTTTCAATTTAAACAAGAAACTAAGGAGTACATTCAGCAAGTGGAAGCGAAATTAGCGAAGAAATAGCAGGTTGAAAACCTACCTGAGTAGGTTGAATGAAGATGTGCCGAATGAGTGTCCGGCATGCGGAGAGACCCCACATGACTCGAAACATCTCTTCGCATGCCCGGAAAACCCGGCAACCCTAACGGCCTTGTCCCTGTGGACAAACCCCACAGAAGCTGCACGCTTCCTAGGGTTGCCGTTAGTGGAACTTGACGACAACGACTGAGATACCAACCGTCCTGGGCGGGGTTGTTGTAGCCGCTACAAAAACAACAACAAGAAATAGCGAACTTGGTGCCCACTAAATCAGATGGATTTGAAATTATTCACAATTTGTATTTGACAAATATCGATGGAAAAGTAGCTACGGCGCTTTCGGAGACCCAGTCTGCTGCCACTTGCAATATTTGCCTTACCACGCCTAAGGATATGAACAACTTGGATCTTGTTTATAATAAGCCAGCGAATGTTGACATACACAAATATGGATTATCTTCACTTCACATGTGGATAAGATACATGGAGAGTAGTTTACACATATCACCATGGGCGTAGCCAGGTAGGGGCAGGGGGGGGTGTTCGAGCCTTCCCCCCTAACTTTCAAATTTTCCTTATATATATATATAATAGTACTCTGAAATGCCAGCTTAATAGGGTCGAGCCCCCCTTTAAATTTCATTCTGGCTACGCCGATGCATATCACACAATATGAAATTCAAGAAATGGGCAGCTAAGGGTGAAGATAAAGTATTAAAAAAAGCAAAAAAACACTTGACCCAGAAAGAATCTTTTACTGTCACGGGATTACTGATAGATATTGTAAAGCAAGCCCTCGATACAACTAATGACGGCAACACAGTCAGGAGGTTCTTCCGAGATTACGAGAAGTCTGCATAGATTACGGGTGTAGACAGTCGCTTAATAAAGCGATTTGCTGTAATTTTGCAAGCTATTTCTTCCGGGAGAAATATTGAAACAGAAAAAATTAGACAATTTTGCAAAGAAAGAGCGGAACTATATGTCAGCTTGTACCATTGGTACCACATGCCTGCTAGTGTTCATAAGCTATTAGTGCATGGTGCAGATATTTTCCAACATTACTCCTTTACACCAATTGGAATGCTGTCGGAAGAAGCTGCTGAAGCACGAAATAAAGATTTTCGAGCGGTCAGGGAAAGACATTCGCGAAAGATTGGCCGAATACAAACCAACGAAGATTTCATTTCATTTCATTTATTGAACATTTTGGCTTATATCTACATACAGAAGTTACAGTTGTTAATAAATGTAACTCAAGCAAATATTTCTAATTACATAACGACATTAATTCAGATATACGAAAAGATAAGGTATTTTGTATATTAAAATTAACATAGTATTAAATGCCATCTCTAGTAAAGTTATAAATGCAGCGGAGTGGCGTTAAGAAAAATAAAATTAAATGGTAAAAATTACAATATAAAGCAGAAGAATAAAAAAAAATATGTATAAACTGCGAATAGCCTTCAATAAAATCGAAAAAATTATTTACATACACAAGTACGAGCCGAAAGATGAACATCAAAAGGAAGTTTAAAAGCAACAAAATTTAGGTAATGGTCCATAGCAAAACTTCGACTTCATTGTATGAAAGGTTCAGAAGAGAGGATTTCACATTTTTTAGAAAATTTTGAAGAATTCTTATGTCGCGTATACTGGCAGGTAGCGCATTAAATAATTTACGAGATACAATTGTATAAAATCTGATATCCTGCACAACTTTTTGATAAGTTCAGATACCTATATAACGCACATAAAACCAAAATTTAGTATAGTGAAAAGTCAAGAGATGTTTCCAGAAGCAGTGGAAATGCTCAAAGACCAATTTCCATACGACCTGCGTGAAATCGAAAATTAATCTCTACCGGATCCAGTTGCATATCTAGTCTAAATTTATTGTTTATTGTATTCTTAGTTCTAATTGACTCGGTTAAAGACTCTCTAACGCCTTTAATTTTGCTATTACAGTTAAAACTTTTATTAATTAAGTATGTATCTTTTCAGGTCGTA